AGGGACTTGGTCGGAAAGATCGGCGGCAGGCACTTCTTCAGCGAGGACGTGCACACACGCACATGAGAGCAGGAGAGCGAGGATACACAGCACGTGGCGCATCATTACCATTAAAATACTTCTTGTAGTAGTCTTACTTCAATCATTTACAGAAAAAACCAATAATAAAAACAGAAAGAAAGTAAATCAATGGAAACAAGAAAAAAAGAATACACAACGAATCAAACAACAGACAAGAATTACAGCAGAAGCACACACATGAAAAAAAGGTGCAACCATAACTCATATAATACCCAAATTAAAGTAAAAACCCACACAATACCCAATAACAAACAGTTAATACCAATTAACCCCCTCAAAAGAAAAAAATTAAGAGAACAACCATCAGAAGCAGGCACAGCAATAAAATCAAAATGCCTCTTTCTGTAGGACCAAGCACAATTACAAATATATACTTATGTATTCCTTATTATTTTTCTTTCTCCCCAGAAAACACTCTAACACACAACAATGCAGGAAAAAGCACACAGTGCCCAAACAAAGAAAACGAAAAAAAAAAATTAACAACACAAATTAAGAGCAGAACGAATCACAGAAAAAAAACTCACAGCCCACTGAGTATGCTGGTCTGTTCAAGTACATAAGAATACAAATTGAATTAACTACTATTTGTTCCTTTGCTCTTATAAAACTGATTACCAAAAACCGTGCAGGGCAAAAGCACACAATGACCCAGCAAAACACAAGCAAACAAACAAAGAAAAAATATATTAACCATTAGCCCAATTTACACAGTAAACACATAGAAATACACCAACTATGGGTGTAAGTCTATACATGTGTGTATATACGGAATTATAAATAAAAATTCATCTGTTATTATTATTTCTTTTCTTTCACTGCAAAAAACACTTCATCATTATCATCACAGTGCAGGGCCAGGCACACACACAGTGAGTGTCCAATAAAACACACACACAATACTCCACGGCTCTAGTTTATGTATTAAATTACTGCACACACACATATGTGTGTACTAGCAAGAGATG